TAAGAACCTCTCTGATCCTCGTCTCTCAGTCAAGCATTAAGCTCCTGGAAGAACTGAGGCTGACAACTGTCCTCCATGGCTTCACACTTGCTCTGAAACACTCCTTCCCATGCCTGGAGTCTCCAGAACTTTATCACAATTGTTCCCATGACACCAGGGTGTAGCAGGTGGCTGAGGCAACACGCCCCATTCTAAGGAAAGCAGCATTTCTGCACCAAACATCCTGTGAATTGACAGACACGTTGAAAGTGTGAGAGATTTCACAGCTCTTACCACAAGAATGTCAACTGTGATGGGCAACTCAGACAGCCTCTTCAGACTTTTCAGCAGCTGCAGAGAGAAGGGAAGAGACTTGTCATACTGAACCACATACTGTGATTAGAAAGGAAAAAAAAATACCTCCACTGCATGAGAGGTTTTTAGAAAGATCCAAGTGGCAGAAGCTGCTATCTTGCTCCAAATTCACCTCCTGAGAAGCTGAACACAAGGGCCAACTGTAAAGAAATTACTGCCTCCTCACCTGCAAGGGCTCATCTGAAGATCTTAAAATGTACTCAAATATTAATGCTTTCTCCACACAAGACTGCAGCTTATCTTATCAAGGACTCAGAAGCTTGTGGCTCTCAGAAAGTGGTGCTGAGAATTACATCTATTAAGAGTCCTCTCTGAAATTCTGCAATCTAGGTCATGGAATTGTCAGAGTTGGAAGGGACTTCTAGAGATCATCTAGTCCAGCTCACCCACTAAAGCAGGATTGCCCAGAGCACATTACTCAGGACTGCATCCAGGGGGGTCTTGAGTATCTCCAGAGAAGGGGAAGGAAGCATCTCTCCAGAGATGCTGAGGGAAGATTTCTAGATACTCTTACAGATCTAAGAGGGAACCTGTATCTCCCCTGCAGACCCTCCACTATGCCAAGGCTGCTGACAGTCTGTGTCCTCAGTCTGTGCTAAAAAGGCAGCTGATCCCTTCCAAACCCCTGCCTCTCATCCCACTCTTTTCCCTTCATTATATACCAGTGGAAAACACAGATGCACTGCCAGGCTGCCCCACTGGCCAGGGAGGGCAGAGGAGACCCCTCCGACCTACACCCGGGCCAGGGGCAGCAGGTGAAGGGGACAAACTTTTACCTCTGCCACCCAGGTGGTTCAGGACATGACTGCAGAGATATCTTCCCACTTTTTAGTGACAGCACACAGCAGCACATCCCTAACAGCCCTGCTGGTTACACCCCACAGCTCAGCTGCAGGCACAGAGCAGCCTGCTCAGTGTTCCTGCAGCACAGCCCCGTGCAGCCCAGGCTGGGTCCAGCAGGGCTGTGGGTCCTGCAGGGCTCGGGGGGGGTCCTGCAGGGCTGTGCTGCATGCCCTGCAAAGGGCTGTCCCTGATCCAGAAGATCTGCTCTTTAAAGCACTGTGCTCATGCTCAGATTAGCAGTTGGCCTAAGCCACTCCAGTCACCCCCATGCAAGGATCAAAGTGGTTTAGAGGTTTCATTCCTTTTGAAGGAAATCAGTTCTTTTCACCTGTTTGAAGTGTGCCATTCCTTTCAGAGATATATACTCCTTGACACAGAGGTGAAGGGTTCATTTAGCTTAAGCAGAAGCCCAGGACAGGTCCTGTTCACCAGAAACCACTGCCCTATCTCTTTTACCTTTAGGACTTCCTTGCTGTGGCCAAAGGTTTAGGTGCTCTTGTTTTAGAAGAGTGAAACACTGATTTAGAAGAGTTTAACTGTGTTTCAGCAGTCCTGACCTGGGATGCTGAGGGGATGCAGTAGTTCCAGCTGTGCTGTAATCACAGCTAACCAGGCCTAGTTTGACAAGCCCTCAAACTAGAAGCAGCAGAGGTAGAGACACAGCCCATCTCTGCTGCCTTCCCTCCAACTGCCACCACAAGGCCTGGCACAGTTCAGGGGTCAGGATTCCTCCAGGAAAGCCAAGATCCTTCTGGCATCAAAATCATAGGGGTTTGGACTAGTGTGCATGAAAGGCCTGTTAGGAAGGGGACAGGAAGGAAGAGGAAGAAGGATGGATCTTGTCCTAGATAGGAAAACAAAGTAAAATGGGGCACTATCAAACAATAGTATCTCTGTAAGCTGATTACCTGCCTAGAGAGGTTATTTCAGAGCTTACAAAATCTCCTTGTGAGAGTAAGAACCAAAGGAAATTCTTTACAGCATCCTTAAAGCTGCTGGATCTTTTTCTATCTACACCCTCCTGCAGCATCTCCAACAGTTCTTCTTGCTCCTCAACAATTTGCTGCCTTCAGGGCTGAATTCCAAGAAGAAAAGCACTATTCTCAGCAGGGCTTATCTCAGGGTTTTGTATCACCAGTGGAAGTGTGGTTTGAGACCAGGGGACCCATTTGATCCAGAAGATGTCTTGGGGGGAACTGGCTTGTTCCACACCCACTGCAGTCAATGGCTGGAAAGCTCCACACATCTTAAAAATAAAATAAATCAAGAGCTGTCTTTCTGAGAGGCCACCACACACATACCTTGGCCTACGTGCCACGTTACCAAGCTTTTACACCTCCATGTTAATTCGAAAGGTTAACACAGGCTGAGTTCAGCAGCCCAGCCAAGTTGTAAATCTCCAAGTGACACTGTCAGGAAATGAGGCATTTTTGTTACCCACAACATCAGTAATGTCCTTATCTGACAACTCAAGATACCAAAACCTGTCGTGATTGACACTGTCCAAGCAGCAAACAGCCTGGCAGTGTCCAAGTAGGGATATATCTGGGAGCTGTGTCCATCCAGCACAGCAAAACCTCTGTGGTCTACACGCATGAGACACCTCCAATGCCATGAGGCTTAACAACTTGTACTGATCTGGATTTCCTATGGAAACGAGTCCACCCCACTGCCTTCAGCTGGAATCAGCCAAGCAGACCCAAATATTGCAGCTCATCTCAGAAATAACCCAGATTTTACAAGTCCTGTGAGAAAAGGGCAGCCAGGGAGAAGACAGAAAGCACAGGGCTTGTATCTTGCTAGACACCAGATGAAACCCATATGAGAAAGCTCCTCTAAAACACCCCAGCACAGAGTTAAGAGTTTCAATAGATCGGCCACAAGACACAGACCATAAAAACTTAACTTAGTTCCAGCTCCCATCAAGTTTTGTTTAACATGGGTGGATTGTTTTCTTTTTCTAAAAGTACCCAGCCAGGTCATGACGATGCTAATGACCCAGGTTAGTATCAAATTACTACAGCACAGCCTGGCCCCTCCTCTCCCTGAAGATGCTCTTGTTCCTGTTTCCTTTACCCTCTTTCTTCCTTCATTCCTGCAGCAGAGTTTGTACCATCTCAGTTGGGGAAAAAAAACCCAAAACACCCAACAAAAAAAAAGACTGTTTCCAAATCCTTACAGCAGTGTCCAAAGTTTTACTCACAGGGTTCTGTGCCAGCAGCCTGATTTTCACCCAAAACCAATATTCGTATTCCAAGCCCTTCAGTAAAACGAGTTGTACACGATACTGGGCAAATATTAGTCTTTCGTATCACTGATAAATATGTATGAAAAGGACAAGGCAAGAACAGCAACGACTGGAAATGGTGTCAAGTGTGGGTGGCACCCAGAGGTGCCCCGGGTTGGTCTTGCGGGCAGGATAAAGCTGTAGCAGCTGCAGAATGTGGTGGAAACATTATTGCAGAGGAGCCCAAAGTCATTGAAATAGAAAGGTGCCCAGAAGATACATCCAGACAAATGAACAGCAACTAAATTCACGCCTAGAAACACTAACTCTGCCGATGATCCAGTTGAAACTGTATCAGAAAGAAGAGGTCACAGGAGCTTTCGGCTGGGAAAGGGAAAAAGTTCCCTGTCCTGATAGCTGGAGAAGGCTGCCCACCTGTCCCTGCCCTTGCAAAACTGCACAGGATCAACAGAGAAAGGGAGAATTTTTAACACCACGAGGTTACTGGGGGAAGAGTCAGGCTGTGCAAATAGTGCCCGGAGACTTTTACAGCACCCAAGAAACACAGACCAGCAGTTACTGCCCTGAGCTGGCAGCAGGGTCGAGAGACAGGAGCACTAATTCTCTGTGCATGTGAGTCCATGTTTGACGTCTTGTCAGTGCCCTGGAACCCAAAACTCCCTGGGATTGGCTCCTCAGCGGATCCTCTGCTCCATTTTGGGACCCCAACGTTTAAACCCTGCTGTGGTTGGGGCTGAGAGGGGGAGGAAAGGAACCAGCCCCCCCATCGCTTTGCACCCACCATCCCACAGGGGCAGCACCTGGGGATCCATCCTTCCTCCTGGACGGTGGGAGGGCTTGGAAAACAAGTGGTTCTGCAGGTGTTTGCCTCAGCTAAATCAGCAGGGAGGCCACGCAGCCCTCACTGTGACATGAATGACACGGAACACGAACCCAACAGCTGCAAACAGCCCCGGCAGACCCTGCCCCTGTAGAACACAACACCCTAGGGCAGGGGGTCACAGCTCGGGCTGGGGCTCCAGCCTCATCCCAACCTGCGTGGGAGGTGGGTGGGAAGGGGGGACCCACGCGGGGCCGACACGGGAACTCGGCAACTTCTCGCCCCGACCCCAACTCCCCGGGCTCCCGGCTCAGGGCCAGAAGTCGCCGAGTTGTCAGGCGGCGGTTCCGGGAGGGTGAACTTGTCCGTCATCCCAACCCTTCCCTGTCACCCCCTTCCTCACCCCGGATCCGCCACCGCGAACACGTCACCGGAGCAAAACTCTTCCGCCAACTCCTCCCGTTGCTCCCTCAGCCCC